GAGGTTAAGACAACTCTGAGCATGGCAGTTGCCGCTCAGGAACCTTCGGGATCCTTCAGCCCTGGGACCCCTGACATCACCCCCAGCAGGGTGAGTGTCTTTCCCGGACTGACAGATACGAAGACCACCGGATGTGACATTTCAAGCTTCATATTGCACCACGTACTTGGAGCAGGAAGCTTTGGAAAGGTAAGCGCTCATTTACTCACCTATAACTAGCATTTGGAGCTCCCCCACAAAACAAATTCCCCTCCGACAACTAGCCAATATGTATCAGCCTTGTAAAATTGCTACCGCTACTGGTAGAACAAATGATCACCTGCTGCCCTCTGCAATCACACTCCCTGGTGTCCTCTGCTGTTCTATTACAATGTTAAAATATTTACATAGTTGATGAGGTTGAAAAAAATGACAGCATGACCCTATACAATGGCTGCAGCAGGTGGAAGGCATTGGGAACACAAATGGGGATAGGTCTCACTGCCAGAGATATAAGAAGACTGGTTGTCATTGAACCCAACAGCCTTCACCTAAAATTCATTCCGTTTCAAAGTCAATGCTAGTTCTACCCTGCCCCAGCCCTGAACACCTTTTCTTTCCCTGACACACCACTAACTTTTGTCTTCTCTCACATTCAGGTTGTTAGAGTGACACGAGAATGCTGTATCAATATGTATATAAAAGTAAAATGTTTTTTTCTTAGTTTGGGATGGAGCGGGGGAGGGTTACAGTCTCTATTTGTGTCCCCGCTGGGAAGATTTATCCTTTTTTCTACTGACAATTGTCACAAGACACCTAAGGGGAATGTTTGAGTTGCCAAACATCCAATGGAGGAAATGTTCTGGAGACAACTCTCTAAGATGGGAATTCCCCCTTGGGGAGATTTTCTTTCCATTCACATATCCAAGACAGAAAGTGAGAGAAAATCTCCCCGGCAGGACAACACATAATAAAAACTTCTAGGGGTCTTAACCCTTCCTTCCTCAATTAAAAAATATGTATGCGTTGTCGCTATACCTATACTATGTCTTGTTACTAAACATTTAAAACATGAGAAAGAATTCCCAGAGCACTATAGATGATGTAAAGACGCAGGCACCGCACAAGAGGAAACTTGTGTGATTTGTGTGAGTGGATCCTCAGAGGCGAGGCGTCTAAATAGAGAGGGGTCATTGCTCGGACTCATTTACATGTGTGTGTGTACATTGAGATTTGAGCTTCTGTGCTCTGTAAATGAGAGGATTCTTTACTCCCTGTACAATCCCGTCATTCGGTGACATAGCAGACCTCTGGTGTATGAGCCTTCCCCGTCCAGAGGATGGACACCATGTAAAAATTAAAAGTTCCTTCCTTCTGAGGGCCATACCCCTCTGACAAGGAACTGAGAGCTGAGAAGTAGCTGGAAGTACTAAGAGACGATAAAAGAACAACAAACCAAAAAGAAACCAAAACCAGCGGCAACAGCCATGAGAATTGGACTAGACGAACAGAATCTGTGATCCTCAATGACTGTCCCAGGGACTGCTAACCACGAGTGACGGAATGTGAACCCAAGTCCTAGAGCAGAAGGCTGACTATCCAAACAAATAAATAAATACAGATCCCGAATATAATCAACGTTGTTAGATGAAGTCATTCTATAGAAATTCCATCCATGTGTATTACTGAAAGGAACCTGAGTTCCGGGTCTGGGCGGACAATGTTATTCAGCCTCCATTGTAATAGCTGATCCCCCCAGTGTTGTCAGCACCCAGAAGCCTTCATTATGTGTCCATATTCCCCTGGGAGGCTGAGAACTGCCCTCTCTCCTGGACACATTGTAACGCCTACTTAGGTACTGAGGGCGTGGTCCAGTATAGTGCTGAGAGAGAGCGTTCCGGCAAAGGTTCCAGGAGATAACAGGCGTTCTGACCTCAAAAGTGGAACGCCATGTTATCTCAGCTGGAGCTTTAAATAGGGCCAGGAAGTGGGAGGAGCGCTGGTCGGCTCGGAGCAACTTCCGCGTTCCAGCGTGGAACGCAGCCTGCGCTCTCAGAGGCTGGAAGACGAGTGCCCTCAGCATTCCAGCGTGGAACGCAAAGCGGCCGTCCTGGGGAGCGGTGGAGCTGTAATGGAACCGCGACCCCATGTAGGGAGAGGAGTGCTTCCCAAAGTGCTTCCCAAAGTCAGGGGAATTCCCATCTTAGGCTGGCCGAATCCTGCAGACATTAAACCAGTGTGTGGCCCCATCTGCACCCCTCCCTTCCATCAAAGACCATTGTTAAACTTTTGTGGAAGGAGCTAGACCTGAAATTATTGGCTGAACAGTGAGTGAAGTCCATCATCTGCAGTCACTGTAGGGGATCCCCTCATCCATGCTGTCACAATATAAAAAGTGGGGGATCCCCTCACCCATGCTGTCACAATATAAAGTGGGGTGGTTCCCCTCCTCCATGCTGTCACAATATAAAGTGGGGGTTCCCCTCCTCCATGTTGTCACAATACAAAGTGGGGGGTTCCCCTCCTCCATGTTGTCACAATATAAAGTGGGGGTTCCCCTCCTCCATGCTGTCACAATACAAAGTGGGGGGTTCCCTTCCTCCATGTTGTCACAATACAAAGTGGGGGGTTCCCCTCCTCCATGCTGTCACCAGATACAGTGGGGTTTCCGCTCCTCCATGCTGTCACAATAAAAAGTGGGGGATCCCCTCCTCCATGCTGTCACAATGTAAAGTGGGGGGTTCCCCTGCTCCATCCTGTCACAATACAAAGTTGGGGGTTCCCCTCCTTCATGGTGTCACAATACAAAGTAGGGGGTTCCCCTCCCTCATGGTGTCACAATATATAGTGGGGGGTTTCCCTCCTCCATGCTGTCACAATATAAAGTGGGGTGGTTCCCCTCCTCCATGCTGTCACAATACAAAGTGGGGGGTTCCCTTCCCCATGGTGTCACAATATAAATTGGGGGTTCCCCTCGTCCATGTTGTCACGATACAAAGTGGGGGGTTCCCCTCCCCATGGTGTCACAATATATAATGGGGGGTTCCCCTCGTCCATGTTGTCACGATACAAAGTGGGGGGTTCCCCTCCCCATGGTGTCACAATATATAATGGGGGGTTCCCCTCGTCCATGTTGTCACGATACAAAGTGGGGCGTTCCCCTCCCCCGTGATATGCGAGTGGGCATTTTAAAACGTCCCCGTGCCTGCGCCCGCTCGCCCCCTGGAGCGTATCAGCAGGAAACTGCCAAAATTTGAAACAGTCAGCAATGGCTGTTTACATACAAGCGGTCCGGCATCTGTAAAGACGCCCAATGGCTTGTATGAGGTAACTATCTGTGCGGCCCCCCCTCTCCTCTCCTCTCCTTACCTGCCATCGTCACTGTCATTGCCGCGATGCCGGGCGTCCGATCCGGTACCGGCATTGTGGATCCGTGCAGCAAGAACGGAGGGAGTCAGTACACAATCTCGCTCTGATCACCTCCCCGTTCTGTGAGTGCGGAAGTCATGTTTATTACATCACTTCCGCATTTAGGTGTCACTCCAGACCGCCAGAGAGAAGCTGGTGAAGCAGATGTCGGCTTCATTAGCTTCTCTGGGGGTCCTTAGGTAACATTAGGGGTCTTAGAGACCGCTAATGTCTCCAAAAAGAGGACCTGTCACTGTAATTTTATATCACATAGGGAGGGGTCTTCTTAGCCCGCTATGTGATAATACAATTAAGTTTTTAAAAAAAAGTAAAAAATGATTTAACGTCCCCCACCTCCACATAGACGGGCAAAAATGTGACGGGGGGCCATCTCCCTCTTTCCCTCAACGTCGGTGTTCCCCCCCTCCCCTAGCATCAGTCGGTGTCTCTCTCCTCCTCTCCCCCCCCCGCCGTGGAGGGACAGTCATTGTGTCATTACCACCTACTACTAAGCCCCCTCTCCCTCCTTATCTTTAACTCCAGCAGCTGTGCTCCACTTCTGCTGGGTTAAAGGAAGCTCCGTCAATGTAAAAAAAACAAAAACCTTCCTGCATGCACGTGCTCAGGAAGGTACCAAGTGCACAGAGGTGGGGGGTATGCGACCTTAAAAACCACACTACACTGCACATTAAACGAAAAGAAAAAAAAATCTTGCTTGGAGCCCAGGCCTCCCCGGCCACCCTCACACAGGTACCGACTGTACCCCCCTGATGGGACCCCATATGGGGTCGCGACCCACACTTTAAGAAGCACTGTTCTAGAGGAAGGGAAATGTTCTGAATAAGTCCTGGAGGTGAGCATGGGAGCAGGTGATGAGGGGACTAGAGAGAAAGAGGTCTTGGGAGGAGTGGAGAGGATGATTTGGGTGATATTTTGATATGAGGTTCGTGATGTAGCTTGGACATAGTTGTGAAGTCCTTTGCAAGTTGTTAGTATGTCAGATTTTATTCATTGGGCAAGTAGATGCCAGTGGAATGGCAAAGAGGCGTGGTGGCCATCAAACGGTTGGTAAGGTATATAAGTCTGGCAGCAGCATGATAAACTGAAGGGGGGGTCGTCTGTGTAAAGGTAGGCTAACTAGGATGAATATGCAAGGTGGGGAGAAATAACAAGTGCATTTTACAGCCTGTTAATGCAATGCCCTGGTGTGAGGGAGCCCCAACATGCAAAATCTATTAAAGTAGCAAAACTAATGAAGTCAAACATACATTTTAAGTCTTTTCTGTGTAACGGTTTCTATGTAGTAAGGTGAAATGATTATAGGAAATCTGTACTTTATCAGGGGAATATTTGGTACAGAAGCTGTGAACCTGGAGCTTCACTTTAAGCTTGTAAATAGAACCATAACTACTTACACACGTTCCAGTCATCATTGCAGAAATAAAACCAATCACAGAGAGGAACAGAAAGCCCATTCCAATTAACAGGCTGCGACCTTCCATATATAACCAGTCCCAACACAGGTAGACTCCGATGAGGCAGCTGATGCACATATTCAACAGGAATCCGACAAAAAACACCCTGTGAAGCAAATAGAAGTAATGAAATATAACTTATAGGAACTTTAGGGGGTGGTTTACGAAAGAGTGCCCAAATTCGGCGTGCTGAGATAAAGTAACTCCCATGCACATGCGCAGGAATTACCTCATCAGGGCCCGGCCAATCAAGCGGATTTTGGAAAAGTACCAGAAGACGATGGGAGGGAGAATGTGCAGTACTGGAGGGGATCGCTTTGGCAGGTAAGTCTGCCATATTGTGGTCATATGCTGTGCATATTATCACATTATGACTAAAAGATACAGGGGGCTGTTTTTTTTTTATACCCCCCTCACTTTACGTCAGCTTTTGGGAAGCAGAGGATTCCCTTGTGACAGGTTGCTTTTAGAGTGCTATAGCTATATTACAAAACCATTTGCCTGAGAATGTATTATATATTTAAAGACTATATTGTTTTTATAATGGAGGCATACCCAAACTCATTCCAGATACTGCGAAGAGCAACACAATATTCATAGAACAGCAGCACTCCATTACCACCAATCATAAACCATTTTCTAACAGAGCTGAATACAATCACTTAAAAATTGAATGTGATGCCATTAGCTATATCACTTTTGATGGAATCTTATTTTTTCATACTGCCCTACTGAATATGCCCTACACGGTCTCTTCTCCAGGGTAACATACACAATAATCAGTTCATTTAAAAAGTTTTGTGGAGCTATTGTTTATATACAGTAATGCATAATTACAAGCTTTATCACTTATGCTGAAGTGTCACATGACTAAAAGGAAATGCCGTGCAATGTAGTTCTCTAGCCCATGTAAGATAAGTGCTTCCTGTTTCTTATTATGGGTAAGCATTACCGTGAATGAGAAATCAATGAAAGACATTAAGTGTTTAATGGCATGCATACACTGTAATTTCCATATGCATAAATGTATACTGAATGAGACAAAATAGAGCAAACCTGTTGCGGTGTCCCACATCATTGTAGACATAAGGACAATAATGGTCGAAGTTTGCAACACATCGTTTAGTGACACGGCAATGCTTGGAACGCAGAGGCTTTGCAAGGTGGCAGGTGTGGCACAGTCTGCTCAGGGGGTTCTTACCATTTTTCCAGTCATTAAAATTGATAGCCTATTGGAAAGGAATAGCAGTGTATTAAAATCATTTGAAAATATACAGCAGTTAGAAAACAGGAAAAAGGGTCTAAAGATAATGAACATATCTAATAACACATCACAATACAATTAGAAGCATAGGAAAGTGACGGAACCTGAGAAAAGTTAAAGTCTACTCCGGCCTGGTCAGCTCTAGTAGAGCCTCAACTACCATAAAGAATTCAATGGAGCGGCATGGCCTATGAAGCGGTTCTGAGGAGGGCTCCAGAGCTGCTTGAGTAAATCATTTCGACCTATATCAGGAGGATTCATATGTAGGTGTAAAAATAGGCAGTGATATATATGGTCAAAAACAAAAAGGATGTCATCTGTGTATTTATCAAAGCTAGTGCAGACTCTGGAGAGTAACTCCAGCTGTATATTTTTTATGGAAAAATCTTAAAATAAAGAATGTATTTAAAAAAAATAATTTGAAAATATTTAGTAACTTAAAAGTGAAACTTTTTTTTCTGGTTTTGCTAATATACACAATGTCCATTTCATCAATATTATCTAGTGCACCGCACTAAAATCAATGAATATGAAATAAAAACAACTACAAATAAATCACAATAGGACTCAATAAATCAATCCAAAAGAAAAGTCCCCATATGATCCTTAAAGTGCAAAGGGCAAGTCTCTCAATTTGCAACAATCAATTTGAAACGAGAGAGAGTCTATACAGTAAGGTGTACGTTTAATAATAGCGGCGGGCACGAGCGGGGCAGGTTAGGACGTTTAAAAACGGCCACCCGCATTCCGTCCGCTGTCCGGCCCTTTAATTACACCGGCTGGACAGCAGGTGGTTAATTATTTAATTCATAAATATTCGTTGTTGTTTATGAAATATATTTCTGTTATTTTAACCAGTTGACATCCGCGGTGTTAAACCCCCTTCCCATCCAGGCCATTTTTCAATATTCAGCGCTGCGGTACTTTGACTGACATTTATTCCGTCATGCAGCGCTGTACTGAAATGAATTTTATACCCTTTTTTGGGG